AAGTTCCCTGTTACCTTCTACCAGGCAATTAGTCTTCTCTTTTCACATGGAAATATCTCACCTAAGATATTCCTGGACTTGCCAAGTTTCACATCCGTGGTGGGAGTCAGCTCCTTTCTCACACCTCACTGCAGTGCTGGTATCTCACACACTGAAATTCCACTGACTCTTTCTGCCATTCACACTTCACATGCACAATTCAGCTGCTTGGCATTTCATGCATATATTCACAGCCAGATGCCACATGTGATCTATTGTGGCCTGATGAGACTCCAGCTTGGGCTTTGGAATTTTGTGTTATAGAATTTTAACCTTTATTTTTATCTTGAACATTATTTTGGTTTGAAGGATGTGTAGTGGGCTGACCTTGGCTGGAGCCAGTTGCCCCCTGAGCTGCTCTATTGCTCCCCTCCTCAGCAGAATGAGGGTAAAGAAAATAAGATGATAAAACCCCTCATGGGTCAAGGTAAAGGCAGTTTTCTGAAGCAAAAACAAAGGTCATGTGCACACAAGCAAAGGAAAAACCAAAAAGATGTAATTGTCTACTTTCCCTCAGCAAACTGTGTTTGACCACTTCCTGGGATGCAGGCCTTCAGCACATTTAGTGGTTGCTCTGGAAGACAAATGGCATAAATAATGAATGCCCCCCTTCCTCCTTTCTCTTTGCTTTACCTGAGTAGAGTCTTTGATCAGTTTGGGTCAGCTGTCCTGGTTATGTTCCCTCCCATAGCCTACTTGTGAAGGGAGGAATGTTGGAGAGATGAAGATGTGTGAGCATCACTCAGCAGTAGCCAAAACACTGACGTGTTATCAACACCCAGCTACCATTGCAAAGCACAGCTCTAGGTGGGCTGCTATGGGAAAAATTAATTCCATCTCAGCCAGACCAAATACAGGAATTAGTTACTGTGAATTCTTTTAAGACATTTGATTCCTTCAGTCTAATATGCACCACAACTCCTTGAGCACAGGCTTGACTCTTTGGGCTTCTTGGCCTGGTACCAGGCAGTCTAAAGCTGCCCAACATCAGACCATTGAGCTTGAACTTGTTCCATCTCATGTGGGAGCACCCAGCACTGGCCATTTTCTCTTCCCAGCCACACAGTGACAGTTTGTGGACCTCATCTAAAAATTTCTGCACTGGTCTGTCATTCCCTTAAACATATGCAGCCAGTCTGGTCCTGCTGAGTAACAGAAATTATTGCTAATGACTTCTCTTTAGCTGCCTTTGTAATTGTTCTCAGCCCATACTCTGCACTACATTGAGTGTCTTAATGAAGTCCATGTCTACTGCATTTCATCTGGCTTGATAGTTGTCAAAGGGAGCCAGTGCCAGAGTGATCTGGTTTGGCTTTTGCTTTTCCATTTTGGAGTTCACCTCGGTTTCATTCACCTCCAGGCTTTATTTTCTTTCAAAATTTCTTCTAAAACTTCCATTACGATTCTGGCATGTTTCAGAGTTTTTTCTGCAACTTAATAACAAAATAATTTTGTCCATGAAGCAAAAAAACTGTGCCATCTCATTATGGAATACATATTTTTCAGGCATTGTTTTTATGTCTCTTTTTACAATTTGAAAAGAGGAGCCCCAAGGACAGTGAAATGTAGCAGTACCATCACTTAGTTCCCTCACTGATTCTCCTCTAATTCTCCTCAAAACTGATGACTTGCAAGTCAGCTCCACACAGACAGAATACAAAAACCTCCTTTGATTCAAAAATACACATTCCTGGTGGTGTTCCTCTGCAGAAGCTGTTTACAGCTACATTTTGGAGACAGAGAGGATGTTGGTGCTCTATTTATTATTGTTTTTATGGCATTTAACATTGCCATTCTTGCATGTTTGGTTTTTTTCCTCTCTTTATGGTACTCTATACCTAGTATTAATATACCTAGTATAAATATCAAATATTTTTCCAGATTAATGTTATTGCTGTTCTTGCATTTGGTTGGGTTTTAGTTATGGTCTGTTTTTTTTAAAAGGAAATCATCCTGATGTGACCACATGTAAATTGGCTGCTTAAGGACAGACTCCAGTCTTTTTGACAGGAGATGACAGACTTTTGTGCTGTTTGGTTATGAATACATTTTATGAATACATTTATGAATACAATTTATAACTTTAATATATCTTCCAAAAAGGTACATTCACATTCACTGTCCTTCTGAGATGGCCATAAACTCCAGTTTTATTTTCTTTCTTGTGCCGCCAATGCCAAACCTTCTGTTTCTATAAACTGTTTTACTGGTCACTTTGAAAGCAAACTAATCAACCAGGGGAACACTTCTTATTATTAAAATTCAAATGATTTAACTAATCACAGAAATAATACCAAGCAGGTTAATTACCTGAAGTGAGAGACCAAGTGCCACACTTTTAACACCAAGAGAGAAGGAAACTTAAGTCCACTGAAATCAATGGATTTAAATACATTTTGGTGTGTGAGATGGAAAAAACAAACAGATCTCCAAGGTAGATTTTGCTCAGTTAAAAGCAAATGTTTGACTTTTAAATTGACTAAGATATTAACAGTGAGGTCATGTAGAGTGCCATGAGACTTGTAAGGGCCACAGGAAGGCAGCAGCCTTGTCCCCTGTGAGTCACTTGGTGCTGGGTGCTGATAAAGAAGGGAATGAGCTGGTAATAATCAGAATTGGTTAATAATCAGAATCTCAATAATCAGAATTGGTGTCTCTGTTCCTCAGAGCTCCTCCATCAGAACCAGTTCACCTGGCAACACTTGACCTTTGCAAATTCACAGGAAAAACATCAAGCATTTGCCTTCTCATAGGAAAAAATGCAGTGCTTTTTATTTCTGGGTGACTAATGATAGCAAAATACATGCACATTATTAAAGCAATGCACTTTAGATTTACTTCAGAATAAATTAACCTGAACTATACTGCTTCTTTTCAGAATTGCACTTTTACGAAACACCTGTTTGTTCACATCCCTGATAAAAATAGTAAAATGGTGCAAGAGCACATGAAGATCTATACTTGGAGAGTAATAAAGAGCTAATTAATTAAAGTATGTATCAAATCAGAAAGGCAGTATTTGTGGTTCCACTTTATCTTCCGTTTCCATGAAAGATTAGAAGCATGCAAAAAAAAGTGTATTTATTGAATGTGCAGGTGAATGAAAGTGAAAGCAAAAAGTATCATGCTGGAGAGCAGGATGCCTCTGAAAAAGGGTCAAAATGTTAACATGGTTGCAGAAGAAGTCAAATATCTTGCTGAGATGGAAGAACAACCTGTAAAATGCAGGCAGGTGTCCTTTCACTGTCCTGAGCCTTGCTGAAGATCCAGAACTGCACAGTGGAGAAGATGAGATCCGGTTGAAAAAAATCAGGAAGAGATCCACAAGTGCATGAGCACAGATATGGAAAATCCTGAGATGCAAATGCTAGCAAAGCCCTGGGCTGAAAAGCTCTTAGTCCAATAAAAAGGAGACCAAAGGTGACATGATAACAGCCTGCAAATATGTAAAGCCTGCTGCAAATTACAGGGGAGTGGTAATGTGTTTTCTCTGTGGCGTGTAGGATGAAATGAAAAGTGTTTGCATGTTTTATTAGATTAACTAACTAATCTGATAAGAATGGACAGGTGTGTAAAGCTTTAGTAAGCTTGAAACAAAAGCTGTGAATAAGACCATCTTTGCTCCAACACTACTCATAAGGATCAAATTTGAGCAAAGCCAGACTTCAGGATTGCTGTTGTCCTTGGGTATTTTTGAGAAGAATTTAGGCAGAAATGATTCAACATGAATTGATTTGAGTTAGACCAACTTTGCAAACTGTCTATGTCCCAGAGCTGTAGGTATTTTCTGAAGACTTTGGCCCAAACTTTCCAAAGGTACATTAGAGGTACACCTGTTTAGATGCCCAGGTTAAACAGTTAAACAACATTTAAGGAGTTATTTAGCTGCCACCTAGACCTGCAATCACTTCCATGTCTGTGAGTGTGCTCCCCACTCAGCCATGAGCTCACATCAGGTGGCTTTGCTACCAAATCCCTCCCTTATGAACATTGAATGCATAAACCACAGCAAGTACTCCACAAAATTGTATTTGGGCTGTCTCTCCAGATTGCCTGAGGATTTAATGGTTTCAGGTGGGATGTGACAGACATTGCTGCTTTAGATCTCTTTTTGCTGACTAGAAATGTGAACATTATTTTAGTCTGTGGCATCCTAGACTGAAACCTTGAATAGGTGAATGGTTTGGGTTGGAAGGGCCCTTAGAGATCACCTCATTCCAACCCCTCTGCCATGAGCAGGAACACCTGCTGCCAGACCAGATTCCTCCAAGCCCCATCCTGCCTGGCCTTGAACACTCCCAGGGACTGGACATCCACAACTTCTTTCTCTCTGCCCAATAAATAATCAAGCTGGTACCCAAACTGGAGGTTTCTTTACGTAATTTCAGCTATTTGAGTAAGTGTTACACGCAGAAATAAGATTTCATAAAGCCTGTTGAAAGATTTAAAGGTGCATGTCAATGAAATGAGTTCAACTTGAATCTTTCCAGCCAATAAAGAGGTGGAGATTATGCAGGGGGATGTATATTTAAAAAGAGATTAAAGGAGCATTGCAATTGGTTATGCTCATTTATGCCTGTGAGAGCATGGCCTGAAGTCTGCCAGGCTCTTGACAAAAAAAACTGTGGCAAACTCATTGAACTCTGGGGTACAAGGTGGTACCCAAGAGGGTACAAGATTACAGGTACAGGGTCAAGATTTTTTTTTAAAGAATTTTTTTGAGTTTTCTAGCTCTCATGGAGAATGGATTTAACTGCTCAGCAGTTTTATATTGCCAGATGCAATTAAGAAGCTTTTTTTTTTCTCATTTATTCACCATCTTTTTAGGAGATTAGGATCCAGATAATCTGTCCTGTCATTTGCACTTAAAAATAAATAAAATAAAAATACCATTACTGCATTCACTACCAGCACAAGAAAAGCATTTGCTCAGGATCTCACTGCTAGTATGTGATTTAAATCTGCAGCTAATAAGCCTCACAAATTCAGGTGCTTTTGTTTAGCTCTGTTTACTAAAATGAAGATATACAAAAGTAAAATACACCCTGGTTATAAACACATACTAGAACACAATGCAGTTGTAAGTAAACTCTGCTCTGAAAGTTGTGCTTATCCTTCATACACAGTTTCTAAATCATTAATACATGCTTTATAAAAGCCAAAGCAAGCAATAGAACAGTGACCCAGTAAGATTTTAGCAGTAGAATATCAGCTGATTTCCCCATATCTTGAAGACTAGGTGCTTTTACTATTGCAAGAGCAATTTGTGTTGGTGACATTTTATCATATATCAGCTTGTTACAGCCAAGCAAGTAAGTCCTGTGTAAAAACAGACAATAAGAATTTTACCAGAGGAAAGCTCTTGTATTTGACTCTGGATATATCAATATATGGATTGGCTTAGGAGTCTGTTTTTGCAGTTTCTTTCTATGTGTAATGACAGCAGTTATGTTCTGGAACTTCTGTACTGTTCATCAAAAACTTACCTGCTCTTTATCTTTTAACAATATTTCATCTTCTGCTGCAGTTACAGTATTTTAGTGGCATATATAAATTCTCACCAGATCTTGAAATTAATATTTCCATATTTTATTCTTAAGTGTTCTTGTTCTGTTTCTTACTCTGGTCATTAGCTGTATCCCCAAATTTCCATTAGAAACAGATAATTTTTCCACTTGGTTAGTAGCTAAAGAAATCTCCAGATGTTATTTCTCGTGTAGTAGCATATATATAATATATGTTATTTTTCTTGAAATAACATATATAATATAGTCCTTGCAATTATCTGATAGAGTTGTGTAGAAGAATTTAAATGTCAAGTAATGAAGTAATGCTGCAACAGAAGCTGAAGGAAATAAAGCACGGGAGTTGCTTAATTCACTATGAAGCATGGGGGAAAAAAAAATCAACATACATACATATATAAACATGTCCAGATGAGTTAAAAAAAGCCACAACCCAACCCTAGAATGTCTGAGTCCCTGGAATCAGTGTAAGCCTGTCTTACAAAGCCAATTACTTTGGAAATCTTATCTTAAATCTTATTCACAGAAAAGCTGTTTTCAATATATGGAATCAAGTAAGATATTGCCCAGTTGTCTAAATAGTACCCTCCACTTGGATTTTGGTAGCAGTTTTTGACTAAGTTTTGTTCTCAGCAGCTCAAGTCCTCACTTGTAATCTCTAAATACATCAGCAATGGGTGCTTCTGACTTTACTCTCCTGTTTGAAACCCAGAGAGCAAGATTATTGCTGGCCCTGAGGGACATTGCTGCTGTGTGCTGTCCCTGGCAGATCTGTCAGCTGCAGAGAAATGATCCTCAGACAACTGGACAAACCAGATATTCACACTGACAGAGCATGTGACTGCACTGAAGGTCAGAGATTCAGAGACTGCAGGACTGGGACCTTTAAAGATCCCTGCACAGGATTGCCCTGTGTGCTGTGTGGCACTGGCATTAAGGGAGATCCCTGCAAAGTTAAAGGGTAATTTCATTCTCTGTGGAACCAGGCCTTGACAATCCTTTAAGCACAGGCTGATAGGGGTTCACCAGATTTACTGTCTTTTCATTCCCTTCTTCAGAATGGGAATGAAAAGACAGTAATGATTAGAAAAACCCCAAAGCCCCATTTTACATTGAATGAAGAATGTTAAGATGAGCTTCAGCATCCTGCCATGTCAGATCTGATACCCTTTGTTGTTTTGTCACCATACCCTGATTGAGATTAAAATAGATTTTAAAAGTTCCTGATTGTCTTTGTTACCACTGCTATGCACAGTTCTCTAAAATAAGTACTGAAAAATAACTCTAAATGCTCTTTATGTACAAGTTTATACTCCCCAAGAATTAAATCCACCTCACCTTTGTTATCACAAAGGAACGAAAAAAATGATAGTTTGGGTGGAACTATCTCCTGGAAATACAGAAGGTTCTTCTGGTTTGGTGCTCCTTTTCTTCACAGGGCTGAAGCACACCTTTAATTCTTACAGCTGATAAATGTTGCTTCCTGATTTTATCATATACTACGTTACTCTTTTGTATTTATAGCAAAAAAGGTTTTTTTTTTATTTTAACCTGCAACTTTACATTAAGTGTGTTATGATTGCAAAGTATGTAAAACATATTTGTGGTAGAACTTGACAAGACAATATTGAAAATTTTGTTTAGGTCAGTTTTCAATGGATTTTATGTATCTTAAAAATGTATTTCTAAAAGTGAATAACTGTGAAAGAGGATCTAAAAGGAGGCCATCTATTTAGACACTAGTTACAAGAAAAACAACAGTCTTCCAAGGGTTGAGGATCTAGCACAAAATTTACATGAACTCCACTCAGATGGAGTGGCTTCTGAAGGCTTCTTTGCAGTGGTGCTCTGAAGAACCAAGAATTGTAACCAAATTTTATTGGCAGAAACCTTCAATAAAAGTGGATGCCAAGTATTTGCCAAAATAAGAATTTAAAATATAAACATGCCAATGTTAGCACTGCTTCACACCCAAGGAGGCCCAGCACAGCAAGTGCTTTCCTGCATCAATCAGCACAGACACTTCTTTAAGATCTGACATACCTCCTTCAAGGAATTAGATCTCTGATCAGAAGAAAGCAAATGTGATAATAATAATAATACACCAGACACAATTTGTCTACTGTGCTGCATGGAGTTCAAGTGTGTGCAGCTTTCTAGAGTCCTAAAAGTCTCCCAAGAACTATTCAGAACAATAGCAGGATATCCTCCACTTCTGAGCAAAGTAGGAGAAACTTGCTCATTGGGAGTGATATTTTTTTTCTAACATCCCTATCATGATTTCTTCCAAGCATTCACTTGCACTTGAAAATTGGTAATTGATGTCTCACTATGCATCTGCTTGATAACTACATCATCTAAGTCACTCTCATTGCATCAGATCTGCCAGAGCTAACAGATAAATTCCTTCTAATTAACAAAATATTAGCTAATAAAAAAATAATTAATTGCTAAATGTACGACACTTTCCATACTCTCCCTTTAGCCTCTTTGCATCTTCTCCTTTAAACCATTTCTTCCTTTTCTCAGATTTTGCAGCTTGCTCCTTCCTTTCTTGATTTTCCTGCATTCGGACAGAATGACAAATTAAACAACAAATAAGAGTTTCTGAAGGAAAAGCTTGTTAAGAAACTGTCAGTTTGCAATGAATAGGTATTCTGAACATGCTCTGTGTGCAGTTAAAACTCTCAGCTGCTGGGGTTTGGGGGTAAACAGCAGAACAGAGCTTCATGGTCAATCCCTTTGGCCTTCTCCATGTGATGATGTTACCAGCAAACTATTTCATCAGCTTTAACTGCAACTTTCAACTATGGACTGAAATGCATTCTTCTTAATTAGTCCCTTTGTCCACAATAGAGAACATTAGTTTAACTTAATTAGCATTCTAGAGATTTATCCCATAGCAACCTTGTTTGTATTCAGGGATTTCTACCAGAATTTTCAGGAGCTGTTCAGCTGTGTTAAACAGCAATTCACAGTTTCTCTTCAGGCTCTCATTAAATTTGCCAGTAGTATTTCTGCACGGCAGTTCAGGGCCAGAGTCCAGGCTGGATGTTTATTGGTACCACTCACACAATTGCCAGAATGGCATAAATCCTGTTAGGATTTATGTAGATAGGCAGGATTCTGGTTTCCACAGAGCTGCTGGTACCAGAATAATAAAATTAATGGAGGAAGAAAAAGCATTGGAATGATTACTGCTAGCAAAAGAAGATGATTATTTAGTGGAAGAGTATTCCTGGCTTTTGATAACTAGCACAACAGTGGGAGAAGGTAGTTCTGAACAACTGAGAAAACTGTAGCATAACATAAAGATGATAAAGCCATTTTCTTAAATGCTCCTGCAGTTCTTGTTCCAGAGCTGCATTTGTCACCAGAACATTGCCATCCCACCTGGAGGCTTGCCTGCTTTTGATTGCAACCAGTGAGTAGTTAATCTACACATTGCAGGTAGATCAGTACTTAATAGGCTGCTGTGTCATATGACAAAACCTAATAACATCCAGGAAGATGCTGATGATTTGGTGCAGATAAGATTTTCGGTGAGACATATGTGGTCTGCTTTGCAGAGAGTTTGAAGCAGAAAATACAATTTCCCACAATAGTGATAAATCTGTTTGATTGCTATGGATCATCTGCCACTATTTCCATAAGATGAGCTGAACAAGTCCAAGAAAATGTGCACAAGTTTATAGAACCAGCCTTTATAGTAAGTAAAAATCTAGGATCAAACAAATAAAGAAAACTTGTAAGCAGTAACAGAATTAATCTGCTTGAAATATAGGAGCATTAGAAGCTCAAGGTTGTGGAAACTGTCACTGGGTGCCTTGAAAAGGAAAATATCTGTGTACTCTTGACAGAGAAAGAAAATGATTCATTAGCCCCAAATAGAGGGTGCTTCTGAAAGAGTGGGTGAAGTTTTATGAGAGGCTAGAAGATTCCATCAGTATAGGGCTCCTATGTGCTTGCCTGATGAATTCCTGCTGTCTTAGCATAACATCTTTGAGATACTATGGCTGCTGGGAGACTTGCAGATTTGTGGGCCCTGGGAGAATATCTCTATGTAATATGCCCTAAGAAATAAAGGAGGTGGATTCAGAGATGTGTTGCCATAAGAAATAAAGGAGGTGAATTCAGGGATATGTTGTTCTGCTTATTGAACAGCACACACAGTAGTGAGAACAAGCTAAAACACATTAGGAATAAATTGAGCAAACCTGAACCAAATTTTTCTTCAGAAAAATTGTAAAAAAATGTCCAAACATAACAATTCAATGTAAACACACTTAGCAAAGTTCCTTCAACACAAGAAAGCCCCAAAAGGTACAGCGGTAGTAGGGCAGAGGAATGAATACTCACAATCCCTTCTCCACCTTCCTGGATTAGTGAAGACAGCTGCAGGGATGAGATTTGGTGAAAGAGGGAGTCACTTTGGATTGGCACTTTGTGGGATGTTAGATACTTGCTTAAATTTTGAATTAAAAGATGCTCCAGGACACCTGCTTATCCCCACACTACCTAAAGCACATCCTGTTCCAACACCATATGCACCCTACAGAAGAGCAGCTGCTCCAGTGTGGCTGTGCTAGGGGAGGACACAGAGGAACTGTCCCTGTGCAGAGCTGTCTGTATAACCTCTGCCATCAACTGAATGCTTCCTAGAGAAGATTCTGTGGAACATTTTTCTCCTTTTCCTGAGATTAGACCGTCTCTTTGCTGGGAGTTCCCTTCTATGAACAGCTGCAAATGCTGAGGGAAATCAAATGTTTCCCACAATCCCCTGTAATCACACAGTGATTATTTTCCCCACAATTTTACCACTCAGTTCTCAGCAAAACTCCATTTCTGATTTTTTGTCTTTGAGCTAAGGAGCTATTTTCTCCCTGTCTCCTTCCTCCTGCCATCTGCTTCTTTTATTTTTTGATAACTGGTGAAACAGTCATCAGCCCTGGGTGACAAACCAGCTCCCTTGCTTCCTTGCACTGTGTCACTTTTGGATATCATTTGGGTATTTGGAAAGGCTTTGTTGATTTGGGCTTTTTTCCTCCAGGTAGATGGAGAGAAATATGGCAGAGTCTTATTAAAGTAATTCCACTTGTGTAACTCAATTTTCTGTTACCTGAAGGATAAGGGATGAGAAAGAACCCTCAGGGAAGGGAGAGAGATTTTGTTTGAACAAAGTAACAAACCCCAAATCTCTGTAGATAAGCTTAGGAAACATCAAGAATCACTATTATTGAAACTATTTCCCTTCTTATTTGATGTGGGAATGGAAAGATAGCACTAACAATTTTGGCAGTGCTAAGAGACCTGCTTTACACAGAAGACTCATCTCAAAATAAAAGTTACACCTTAGCAGTAAAGCTTAAAATAAATGGCACTGGGAAGAGATGATGCCTGTGGCTAATTCTAGTGTAAAAATCAAAATCACAGAATAAAAAGATGCTTTAAAAATTAAAACCTGCAGCTTTTCAGCATGTGGCTGTTTTCAAGTACAAAAAGATACTACAAATAGTATCTTTTTTGAGGAGATAGTGAGAAAGCAAGCAAGAGAAGAGGAGATTAATTCTAGGTCTGCAGTGGAAGAGAGGTGCAGACAACATGGCTGATAGCTGTGGTACCTTTGAGGTGAGGTGCTGCTGAGAAATGGAACTCAAAAAAGATGAAAAGGAGTTTTCATTTTGGGATATAAAAAGAAGCTTCTTTCTAGTTGCTCTGACCTGGCTGAGAGCAAGAAGCACCCAGAAATGTAGTTTGAGTCTCCTGCAGCTGTACTAGGACACTCATAACCTTTACTGGGACTGTTTCTTGAAAGAATTGCCATTGCTGAAATTCCCTTCAAAGTAAATTTCCAGTATAGCTCTCCACAGATACTGACCCATTATGTTCTTGGCTCTCTTAGTTCTTTTCTTCATACCTAGAATTTTAGGAACTTGAAGGATCAAGCCTATTGCCAAAACATCTGTGCTTCATAGGGTTAATTTTCCAGACTGTTTGTGGCAGTATCTCATCTTTTCAGAGCCCAGGTAACTGCATTGCTTGGAAAATTTCAGCTCAGTGCTTTGATGGAGAAGCAAGTGGTGGGAACAGTAGAGGATATATTTTTTGCCTTTCATCTTCTGTAACTTCCTCAGAAACTTGATTGTTTTCATCTGGATCCATGATCTGCCCTGAAGCTCTCTCTTGGCAGCAGAGCTGTCTGTGTTCTTGCAGTTCTTCTTGCAATGCAGATGGCTCTCTCTACAGAAGGTTTATCCAGGCTGGGGCTCTCCTGGAGTCAGCACAGGATCTGGTGATTCTTGCTGTTAAATATGTATGAATGTGAAGCCACTGGCATTAAGAAAAAGGAAGGACATTAGTCCAGGTGTGAAATGTGTAATAAGGGAAATGAAATAGAGCTTTACTAGAGAGTTTGCAAATTGGAAGGTGCTCTACACAATTTTTATGGTGAAGTTGCTGTTCTCTTGCTCCTCATTGCAAGGAGCGAAGTCCTATAAGTTAAGAAATAGAATCCATTGGGAGATTTGGAAGGGTTTTTTGGAACACAAAACACACTCTTGGGAGCTAACTAGGTACAATGAAATACCAGCACATAAACACACCTTCTGCCTATTGGAAAATTTACCTTTTGGCTATCACCAAAGTCTATAAAGCATGTCAGGTTGCTCATTCTTTCACATGCCACAAAGATCCTATTACATTGAGGTCTGGTTAATAATTGTCAGTGGGAGAAATGACTTAAATTGTTCTCAACAGCAAAAAATCTCAACCTTCCCCCCCCCCCCAAAAAAAAAAACCAAACCAAAACAAACCAAGCAACTAGCAACCAGCCAACCAAACTAAATGCCACAAAAAAACAAAAAAGCCCCAGATTTTATATGTGCCCACAGACTCATTTTCTGCTGCAGTTTGCAAGCACATAAATTTACCTTCATTTACTTCTGCAACCAGGGTTACATAGCCCAGCTTAGAGTAGAAAAAATAGAAATTATTGCTTGACTTAATAAATAAAAAGTTCTCAACCTAATTCTAAACAGCCACAGGGCAAACTACCTGTAAGGTCTTGAGGAAGATCTCTCTGAAGGTTTTCATTGTGTTGAATACATCTTCCAAAGACAGTTTTTTTCGGTCTTCACAAAGATAATCTGCAAGTTCTTCCTTCTTCTTTTCAATGGTGGCAAATTCCTTCTGCAGGTCCTTTGAAGCATTGAGGCTGCCCTGAGACACATTTTTTAATATAATTTATGCATATTAAAAAGTAGCATATTCTGAGCTGCCCAGAAGATTTCAGCCACTTAACAGAGAGCAGTCAGTTTTTAAAAAACTAAGAACTAAGATTGGTCCACAATGTGTGATATTTATTTCTGAATTGAATAATCTGCATTTTCCCTCATTTCATCATACAACCATGTGGAAATGTGGCAGAACCTGGGATGACTGAGCAAGGGACATGCAGCACCAGGATTTCTACCTTACAGCTTTAGTTAAGTGACCTATTCTGAGTATATGAAAATCTAGGATGTTAGGAAATATAGTTTTGGTGGAGAGGAGGGAAAAGCATATTGCAAATCTGTCCTCTTTTTTCCCCCCCACAAAGCACAGTGAGACAAAACATGTTTCTGTGCTGCACTGTACACATTTATAGTTGCAGCCTACATTTCATTTTAGGGCCTTCCTTTCTTTTACTCACAGAAAAATCTGTCTGGTCCTCAGCTGTTTCCATATCCCAGTACCACATTAAAATAATTGAGGAAAATCTGAGATACTCCTTCTATTGGGGCACAGTGGGAGGGTAGTAATGACCCCTTTCCCACAGGGCTTTATGTCCAGTTGTAACCTGAATTACAGCGCCTTTAAGAAGAGAGTGCTTAGGAAGAAAGATGGGAAATGTGTCACACTCACATTACCTACTTGCACAGATTTTCCATGCTGTATTTTTAAATCATCCGTCGACAAAAGTAAACGTTTCTCTATTTCCAGCAGTTTCTTCAAATTGGCACCAGCCTCGGCCTGCATGGCATCAAAGTGCATTCTGAAAAGTCCACAAAAGGGACAGGACATTGAAGGGGTAAGTCTTTTGTTTGCATTAACTTAAAAGGTTATTATAAACATTATCATCTCTGCAAAGGAATATAGAATTAATTCTCCAGCCCAGCTTTTGCAGATAGCTCTTTTCTGTATAAATGCTTTTTCATGTGCACAAACCCTCATCTAAGAAAGACTCTCTGCTTTTGCCCTCACTACCTCCCTAGATGGACTGTGGAAGAACCTCACTGTCCTAGCATTCAAAAAACTCCAAAAAAATTCCAGCCTATTTTTATTCATAGGCAACACCAGCTCATCTCCCCTGTGCCAACACTGTCCTTATGTAGCTGGTTCTTTTCTCTCCTTGCCTTTTCTCCCCAGTCTATTTATGGTCCAAAATTGTATCTCCTCTCTGTGTTAATTCAGCTTGTGTGGAGATCCAAACACAACCACTGCCAAACCAACATCTTCTGGAGTTCTGAGCTACTCTCTGGGCCAGACAAAATTTACTGAATCAGCAAAACCTGGCTTAGTGTTTCACAGCACATCCATATATGAGCAGCATTAGGAGAGCCCCTTGCAGGATTTGCACCATGAACTGTTCTCCACAGGTTGATTAGCAAATCAATTTTGTAAGTTTGAGAGTTTGACTGAAGTAGACAGCCATTACTCTATACAAAAAGTACATTTATGTAATTGGCCAGCAAGATCTAGTTTCCGTCAAGAAATGCATTTCTGTTATGACACAATCCAAAAAGAACTTCATGATTGAAAACAACATTCAGTTAATCTTCTGCAAAGCTAATTCACAAAACCCACAGGAATTAAATTATGGAATTAAAATACTTTCAAAATTTATGTAGCAGCTACATAATAAATGTCAATCCACTGGCAGATTTAAAAGTTACTCCTTTGAGTTACAATGAAATCTAAATCACTACAAGTTTCCTATGAATCCTCTGAATTCATAACAGGATTAAAAATGTTAATCCTGGTGCTATAAATGTGGATTCTGATTGGTGTAACTGAACCTATCTCCATGTGATTCCTTTGAGTTAAAGAGAAAGAGTTGGCAATGGACTCATGAGGCTTTCTGGCACACAGGAGAAAGAAAAAACCTGTTTCTGGAGACTTTTGACTTTCTACCCACGTGTATTAGAAACACGTGCTGATAGTCAACTCTGGGAGTCCTCAGGTCCCCCCCAGCTCCCAGTAAACCACCCCAATTGTTCTCTTCTTACATAAGCTTTGTACCTTCAGATGAGATTTCACCTAAAACTGACAGAATGTGCTGAATTGGAAAGGAGAATAACAAGTCCAACTCCTGGCCCTGCACAGGACCATCCCCAAGAGTCACATTGTGTCCCAAAAATATTGCCCAAACACTTCTTGAACTGACTGAGAAACCTCAGGGAAGATATGTTTCTATTGCAATATGTAGAAGAAGAATCTGGTCCTTGAAAATGAGGGAAATTCACTATCTACAGGGTTTTCCTCTGAAGTAGTACTGGATCCACAGAAAGAAAAATCACACTGAGCCCCACCTAAAAGTCTTAACCAGGCTGAACTATGAAAATTTCAACACTTTGGTGTTGAAGGGAACCACTCTCTCCTACAGCAGAGAAATCCTGTGACCTTATTACAGCACCATAAAATGAGTCAGCTCCTTGCTGGCTTTAAAGAGCTTGGCTATTCATACATGACAAAAACAAACAATAATGTCCTACCCCACTGCCTTGGAAACAAAGTCAAGATCTCTGGGAAGCTGCAGGAGATCTCTGTGTTTTTTTTCAACCTCCTAAAATTGAGGAGAAAAAAATTATTATCTTATACAGACTGTCAAAGAGCATGAAATGTTTTCAGCTGGACAACATCAGGACTGAAAACTTAGCACTTCATTTTAGTTCTTATAAGTGTAGGGATAAATTTAGTCTTGTTCATTCTTTTTCTCATGTTGGCATCCACAGGGAGTTAAAAAGAAAGGAAGAGACTCATTTAAAGTGCTCAGGCTGACATTCCATGGGCTGCCACAGTGTGCAGGCTGACCTGAGATTTTGTCTTCATACCACAAAAATAAATTTTATTTGACAGATGCATTTGGGATATGTGTCAACACAAGGGAGCAGTTGAAGAAGAGAAAGAAACCAGCAAGCAGACTTGTCAAATGAACTTGAGGAAGAAAACCTAGTGTTTCCACCCTAAATATTACTGTGTATGGATTGATCTCATCTGCACAGAGAGCTGTGGAAAAGTTTCCATGGTATTCCCAGCACAGAGGTTCACCCTCCAGGTACCTATAGCTGGGTATTACTGAGGTAAAAGCCCCTTAGCTTCTGGGGAATTAATATTTGAGAATAATGCACACAAGATTAATTTCTCAGTTTTGTTGTACCTCCAAAATATGGTGAAGCAGAGTAATGTTGTTTTGGTTTGCTTTTGTTTCTGTTAGTTTGAGCAAGGCACTAATTTTAAAACCTCCAGCATCTCCAGTGTGACGCCCCTGGAAGACACAGAAAAAAGTTCCTTCTTTCAGTTTTCAAGTCTTGCATGATTTTCTGTTATCTTTAGAACACAACAAGTAAAGAAATAATTTTACTTACATAGTTCAGAAAGTTTCCAACTTTAAGAATCAATTGGCAAAACACTGGCAGTCGGTGACTGGTAAGAATTGCTAAAAAATAAGAAGAGAGACATTTTCAATAAATTAAATTAAATTATATGAAATAGAATTTTCATTAGGTTTGACAGTGATGGTAACAAAATTTTCATCCAAGATTATGTCAAGTCATTATTATGCATTTGGAAAAAATACCAGTACAAAAATAAATCAGCTGAATGAAAGTCAAATGAGTAACTTTCTATTGTGATCTTTTCTTTACAAGCAGATGGAAAACTAGCTTTTCCATTAAGTTTGGAGTATAGATGTGCCAACCCTGCAGCTGCCTTATGAAGGAGAACCACATACAAGAAAGTGTATAAACTTGTCAAAGTCTATAGCCCTCATTCCCAGCACATATTATTCTAGTTAAGAAGAGCAAAGGGCTTTGCGCCTCGTTATCATCGTTAGTGAGAATGATAATGAAAAGATGCACATTTTCACAGGAGAATCTGGGGTAAGAGTAAAACTTTTGGCAGAATTAGAACAGAAACTCTGACCCTCACCATGGGATGGAGGAGGAGCAGGGATGTCAGGGTGGGACTACAGAGAGCTGTTGATTGCACCCCAACAAAGAGTAACCACAGCAATGACATCAGACATCCAGGTATAGCCCTGTTTTGTGTGTGAAGATAAAATTTTTCAGTTTAAGTGTTTAACAGGAGATCAATGACTCTCTGAAACCACTGAACTGAATCTGGAATGCAAGAGCATCTTCAATAAAGAGACAAAACTAAAACCAAGGCTAATTTTGGGTGGAGGAGACTCCTGAAATATTGGTGAACATCATCTGGGATGTCTTTTTCTGGCAGCCACATCAGATTCTGGTATGTCACTGTGTCCTGCTCCACCACAGAGCTCAGCTGGACTGCATCAGTGCACACTACAGGAAAAACTGAAATAGATCCATTGTTACGGACAAAAATCTCCTCAGCACACAAAAATGTAACTTATACAGGATCTGGCACTGACACCTCCATCTCAGGAGAGACCTTACTGCTGAAAAGTTGCTGTCAGAGGGAGTTCAGCCTCTTCTCCCACTGCCAGGATGAGAGAATTCAAGCTGCACCAGGTGAGGTTCAGGTTGGACATCAGGAGGAATTATTTACAGAAAGAGTAGTTAAACAGTGGAATGAACTGCCCAGGGAGGCAGTCACCCTTCCTGAAGGTGTTCAAGAAACAACTTGGCACTCAGTGTTAAGGTTTAGTTGATAAGGTGTTGATGGGTCAAAGGTTGGACCCAGTGATCTTAGAGATCTTTTCCAATCTAAATGATTCTGTGAACCCTGGAAGTGTTCAAGGCCAGGTTGAGCAGGGCTCTGAGCCCTGGTCTAGTGCAAGGTGTTCCTGCCCATGGCAGGGAGGTTGGAATAGGAGCAACTTTAAGGCCATTTCCAACCCAAACCATTCTGTGATTCTCTGATGAAGGAAATTTCCCTATTTCCCTTCAGAACTACTCCTTCAGAGCAAAACAGCACAAACTGTAATTCTTCAGAATGTATTCTAGGAGCAGGAATTTGCAGAATGATTTTGATGTTCGCTACACATTCAGCAATGAAAAGGTTAATTTTGATTAGATTATAGCATAGACTACCACTGATGCTAATCAAGTAGAAGAAAGTGGCTGAACCTGGGCACTGGTGCAGCACTGATGTACTTACTTTCACAGGCTGTCCTGATGGCTTGTGCTTTTGGCCACAGACACTCCAGCAGAATTTTTGTTTCCTCACAAATCAGCATACATTCAATCCTCAACTGGTAGCTAAAAAGAGATCAGTGGAAAAAACCACAACAAACACCACCAAAAACAAACCCCATGGGCCTGATTAATTGACTTGTGTTCAGTAAGAGCATCATCCATTTTAGGCAAAGCACAGCACTGACATTCTTATGGTCTCCTTAATGCTCTGACATGAGAACTGGATTATAAATAAATCAAACACAGATATTTCCAAAGATGTCCTAGAAACTATTATCATCTCCTCTTTCAGAAAGCAATGCTGGACTGACATCTGGCAGTGACTACCTTGCATAATGAGACCCTAATTTTTTACAATTCCTGGGCAACACTAGCCAGGATTTTTAACTTCACAATTCTTTTTAACTTCACAAACAAATTTGAAATATTTTGGCAGTGATGTCCTTTAATAACATTTATGCTTCATCACAGATTAACATTGTGGAAGAAAAACATTTTATAAAGTAGTTTTAAATCTAGCTAGAAGTTTGAGAAAATGAAAAGCCCCATTTTCACCACCCTATTTTCAAAAAAGCATCTCTGGTTGTGTCATGGCAACTGTTCATATTTATGGAGGGCTACTGCTATTAATTATAATATATCACCATCTTTTTGTGAGCAGCAGAAAGAGTTCTCTGTGTGCACCTCATTTGACTTGGTAAAAGCTGGGGAGGTGGTGAGAGCACAGGCACTGCTGTGATTCACTCTTGGCTCTGTGGGCTCCCCAGTGGGTGAACTGGGATCTGTAGCCCAGGGGTGGAGTGAATCAGCAGCCTGGTGACAGGATTCAGTCTGCAGCTCCACGCCACGCAGGAATAGCTGCTCAACAGCCAAGGGCTTTTTCATACCAAGGTTATTTTAACTGTGGTTTGCCAAAGGTGTCTGAAAACTTCTCTGGCTTTTGGGAAAGAAAAAAAAAATTCTCATACAAGGTCTACAAATAGCAGTCAGATGATTTATCCTGAAGACTGGATGTCAGGAAGATCCCTCTAGCACAAGAAGCAGAGGCCTTAATTTTTATGGACAAGTCTTGTACGAACCACACTCATGGAAAGAGATAAGGAGGATTTTGCTTACCTGGGAACTTCCAAAAGATGGAGGTAAAACTGATCTGCATTTGCCAGCTGTGATTTTTCTTTTTTGTAAGATTTCAGGTTATTTATCTAACAGGGAATAAAAGAGCAAAATAATAATTTTAATTTAACAACGAAAACAACCACACAAACATTTCTGGTGCCATTTTCTTCTTGTAGGCATGAAACTGGCTTTTCTAAACTTGCTGTGTGCACAGGCAATGGGAATAAAGCAGATGAACAAAACATTCTACATACGAACTGGTTTGCAAGGGCAAACATGTAGGTTTTGTTTTGACTGGAAGGTCTTTTACCTTTGTACAGCATCTCCTAGGACCTGTAGGCAGAGATTGAGGAAGCTATAATGCACAGAAACCCAGAAACCCTTTAAAAAAGATGGGTCCTTTCCCTTCCTCCTTTTTGAAACTTCCTCTGAAAGGCTCTCTATTCACCTAAGTCTACAAATCCTACTGTGCTTTGTCCACTTAATTAAAATAACAGGACAGAGAGCAGCACTTTGTCTGCACCTGTGTTGAGTGTCCCAACATGTTCTTGCTCACTCTTTGTGTGAAGAGGCCAGACTGATGCTGGGATGGACTTCCCACCACTCTGCCTTGGATTTTCATTGACCTAGAGGCTGCAGAAGGGCGTGGGGTCCAGTCATAGCTTCTTGCTTTAGCAGTGCAAATATTTCAAGCTGAACTCCACCAGAATGACACATTAATAGATACCTCCTGGTCTTCAGGCAGCAGTTTAAGCAGCTGTCTCAGGATCTCAGCATCCAGCTTGGATCTGTCCCCTTTCTGAATCATGGCAGCAATCTCTTCATTGGAGCTGCAAGAAGGAGAGAAATGATGGTGAGCACTGGGGGAGTAACATGGAAAAAACCACCTCAATCTCTCTGCTGGCACTCCAGGAGAACTGAAGTAAATCTTACTATGCTTGCCTGCCATTCTAATTTGGATCTTAATCCTCATCAAAAGTACAGTGGAGATAAGAAAATGTGTTTCTTTTAAGGCTAAACAATATTCCTTATAATTTAGATGTGCTTTTTGGCCTTTGTTCATATTTACACAACAAACCCCAAAGCTCTGCTTTTACTGTGGGTATCCACTGTCACTGAGAAGGTATTTACATTTGAATTCCTCCACCATTTGCAGCAAAGGCAAGGATAAAACCAGTGGCTCACAGAAGGTTTTAACTCAAATCCTTGCCTGAAACTTTGGCAGGCAGCAAGTGTTTGGAAAGCTTCCAGGGTGCTGAGGTTTGGGCTCTGGAGAGCTGGGCTGCCTCAGCCACCAGGGCTAACAGGGGCAGCACCCGGCTCCAGAGCAGCCTCATCCCTCCCAAGGGCAGAGGGACTCAGCTCTTTGATCCCAGCTGCTCCCAGGAGAGCTCAAGCACTGCCCAGGGAATCAGGCAGGGAGAGGAAATAGCATCTGCATTAGGCTATGCACCATTCTCCCCCACCGAGAAGCAGTTTGTCATGGAAAAGGAATAATAATAATTAAAAACATCCCTCTGACTGACTCTGATTTGTTCTTAATGAAAAGGGATTTCTTGGCTGAGTTTCTTCTTGAAACCCTTTTAACATGGGCCATGACACAAGGGCAGAGAGAGAGCAGAACATCCATCATCATCCTGCCACAGTTTCAGGGAATCTGAGAGTAAAGATATTTTCCCAAAAACTAGTACAAATTCCTTTCCTCCCCCACCCCTCCATAAGGGCAGTGACTTGGTAATTTTCCATTTGTTTAGTTATTCAAACAGTTTCTTATTTATAGAAAAACTGCACATCAAAACTGTTTATGATTTTGAAACTGAACCCCTGGAAGAGCTTCTTTAAAAGCAATGAAGTGACTTGAAACTTCCATTCAACAATCTTCACTAACAGTTCCTGCCAGAGTTTGATATTTATGACAATAATACCAAAGAAAAACATGTTCCTACATAACTGTACTGTTATTTATGAATATTGTTTCTTTAGGAATCTGTAGTCCATTCTAGATTTAATACCAGTTTGAAAAATGATATTAATTGTCTGAAAAGAGACTGTCACCTATCAGTATTAAAAAAAAAAAGAGAAAAAAGTTGACTTCTTGTTAAAGAAAGACAGTACTTGCAAAGTATTTCTGCTAAATTAATTTCATTTAATATCTGAATAAATGCATAGACACATCAAGTCAGTAGTTCAGATGTTATTCTCCAAATCTTACCACTTAAATTGCTTCAGAAATATACTGAGAAGGAGGCTTTTCTTTGGACCTATGAATGAGATCTGTAAAAAGAAAAAAATCAATCAGCTAGAAATACATTTACTTTGGATTTCACAGGTTTTCCATAGGTTTTGTTTCTTTATTGGTCGAGATTTATTCTTTTTTGGTAATAATATAATCAATAACCTTCATTGATCAAATCCCAATGACAACAATACAGGCTATTAGATATATTTTAGAAAGAGGCAAAGGCATAAAGAAGGAAATTAAGTTGCTTATTCCAGTTCATAATAATTATTACTGAAATTCTCATGTCCTCCCTGCCTCAGATGAAGACCTATCCCTCAGCAGAGTTACTTCAGCTTGTTCCATTCTAAACCTCCCCTGTGTCTTTTGTTTTAAGGCAGCCTCAGGCAGTGGATCTCAAAATACTTCAAACTTTCTTGTTATAAATTATTGACAACAACAAAGAACTAATAAGCTTTTCACTTCCAAGAACTTTGCCATTTTCTACAAAAAGTGGGCAGCCCAAATACCTCTTTTGTTTTCTTTATTTTTGGCACTGTTTTCTCCGTAGGGATTCTTGATGGGACAGAGAAAAGGAGCTCCAAGCTTGCATAGTCAGGTTCCACAAGCTCCTTGCTGCTGCTTGGCATCACAGCCCATATGGAGTGGCTTTCTGGAAGAAAATAAAAGCTCAAGATGGATCACAAAGGTTGAGGAGGAGTCTAAAGGTAGTGTGATTTGTAAAAGGGAAAACACTTTTGAGGATGAATGAAATATGATGCTCATTAGCCCTGGACAAATGTGAATTATTTAAGAGTGACAGCTCCCACAGAGAGCATCCCAAAGGTTTGAAGCCTAATTAAACCTGGAAGATTACTGCCACATTCAATTCACTGAGCTGAAGGCAGCAGATGAACTTAATGGGCTGCTCCAAATTGTTTTTGCTATTGCTGACCCATTGACTGTGGTACCAAAACAGGGGATGCTGCATCCAATTAGGTACCAAAACAGGGGATGCTGCATCCAATTAGGTAAACATCTCTTTTTGCAAGAGATAAAGACTCCCAAGACCAACATTATCACCAGAATCATTGGGACCTATCAAAAAAAAAAAAAAAAAAAAAAAAAAAAAAAAAAAAACCAAACCAAAAAGAACTTCCAAACATGATTTTGTACAACATGGGAACCTTTAAGACAGGATCTCACCTCCTTTTGGTTTAGGAGAGATTACAACAGTGACACTGAGTGCAGTGGGGATGAGTCTCAGTTTGTGTCTCTGCACAAGGAAAGCGATCCATGGCTCAGTTTTTTTATATCTGTGTTTATATATTTTATCATAGCAGCAAGTTCTTGCCCCTTATGACCCCTTGTCCTGGAGGTAAGCAAGGAAAAGCAACTGAGATCTGTCTTGTGTGAACTGAATATTAAAAACAGCAGCAAAACTGGAGATGTGTTTCCAGCCTCTTTGCTAAAGTCAAACAAGACCTTCAAGCCCCTTTGGCACATGCTAACCACAGACTCTTAGGGTTATTTTGTGTGTACGTGTGTGAAACACCACACAAATTACATCCCTGTAACGAAACTGGGGGCTACCCTGAGGGTACACATTCCTCAGCCCTACCAACAAGAGTTTTCACCCTCAGATCTTGGCTGATGCACCTTTTGGCCGTGCAAGAACATAAAAAGCAACGTAAAACCAGCTCTCAGCTGAGAGTTCACTCACTGGTGATGCACCAGCAATTCATTAAGAAGAACCACAGAACATGAGGACCTTTCCACTCCACACACTCAGAGCATTTTGCAAACCTCAGTCAGTGCAGACTCACAACATCCCTTTAACAAATAACAGAGATTGAGGTTAAGAGAAGGTAACTTCAGCAGCCACAGAGCCTCAGCCCAGAGCTTCTCCCAAACAACCATTTCCTCCACTAATTGGCAGAGGACTGCCTTTCCATATTCATTTTGTGCTTATGATTGAGAGCAAGCAATGGGACCAAATGTATGACTTGACTCATGAGTGAAGGTTAATTCCCCCATCAGTGCTTTCCTCTGGCTGCAAAGTGCAGGAACCCATCAGCCCAGTGCTACAAACAGGCACGTACGTCTCACCACGTCACAGGGCAGCTTCTGCCAGTGAAGCACCTTCATCCTCAGTGTCGGTGTCTTCCTAGCCTGGGGCTGCTCCCCACAGCCACAGGCAGGATGGCTGCAGCCAGGACTGCTGCATGGCTGAGGAGATGGCAGTGATGGGGCATTCATGCCAGGCGTGGAAACAGGGGGAAGAGGCAGCTTGCCCCCAGGAGGGAGGGGTGGAGGCGGGGGCAGCTGTGGTGGCAGAGCTGGCATGACAGACTGTTCTGGGGAGGAAGAGGAATCTTTCTGGGTGGGTGATGTGCTCCCTGGAGAGTGCTCTGACTTCCTAGAAAGGCTCAGGTCTGCACTGGACTTCTTCTCTTCCAAGTCCATGTTAACCTGAGTGCATTTGTTCACCTTTGGAACAGATCTTCTAGGCACTGTTTTGGGGGGGGTTGAGCAGTGCACGCTTGATAGCAGGCTCTCCATGGTTTGCCCCGGTCCCATTTTCCTGCTCTGCAAGACAACAAGCAGGTGCATGGATTAGCAAAGCTCCTCATGACTGCTCTCTACTTGTAATTCCTACAGAGACACAGAAATTAACAGTGGCCTTTGCATTAAGGTAAGCAACAGGAATATTTCTAACTGCTTTACAAGTGATAGTTCATAGCAGCTTCAGGAGCAAGACAGTCCTTCTGGCCATAAGGCTCATTTTTGACTTCTCTTCATCCTTCCGCATTCTTGTTATAACACATAAAAACAGAGCAAATGCTATGAGCATAGCAAAGCCTTACCTAGTTTTTTTCCCTCTGTTGACAGCTGTTTGGTGGGATGAATGAAGGGCTGAAGAGATGCCTCCTGGAGAACTTAGTACAGTCGTTCTATAGAGGGGACATCTCAAACAGCAGGGACACAGTCAACCCTGCAAAACCACGTTGCCACAATTTACCTTGAGTGCAGGAGGGTGCAGGGCATTTAAAGAGAAACTCTCAAAAGAGCCTAATAAAGTAAACAAGGTACAGCTGAGGAGGAGGAGGATTCAGGTTGAGCTGCTTAGGTACTTGTGACTACACATGGAAATGACTTGTAAGCATTTCAGTAAATAAGATTACCTTTCCTATTTTGCCCTTAAACCAAATTTTGTTCTAGGGAAAATCTTTATCTTTAGACTATACAGTTTCTCTCAGAGCTTCTTGGAAAAGACTGCAAAGTCCCTATCTTGTATGTATGCCCAGTTTTTATCATGGAGACAGTCCTACATAATTTAATAAAGATTTTGCTGGCTCAGGACTTTGCTTTGTTTGCTTGACTGAGCAAACCTTTGCAAACAATTGCATTTCTTGTGCATGAGCAGTGTCCTGGGACACCTAATCTCAGCAGCTGGAGCTGCTGTGTGATTTCTCTCTTTACAACCTCTACCATGACCATCAAAAATGGCAGGAGCAGCACGTGCTAAAAGGGGAGCAGTGAGCAAACTATCAGCGCTGCAGAAATGACACAGTAGGTGCAGCATTTTTAGGGACTGTATGTGGGCAGAAACAAAGCCCCCTGCCATCACATTCTTGAGGAAAACACACATTAATAGCATCAGCAGTTTTAACTAGGTGGGGACTTTGATTTCCAGTGCAGCACAAGAGATTTTTTTGGTACATACACCACATTTATGTTCTCAAAGAGCTAGGTTAATACCCATGAATGATGATATATTATGATCTATCATAATACTTATGAACCGTTTTCCTCCTGACACAGCAATTTGGGGCAGTTACTAACACAGAAAAAACTAAGGGAGCTGCATTAAAACCTGCAATTGATGGATCTCTAGTCCATAGTATACCTGTAAAGCATCTCCTACAATTTGGAACAGTTTATCTTTGAAACAAAGCAGCTCATAGTGATGACAGTCTCCAGCTCCTACAGCCCCAGTAAAATTGTGAACCAATGCATCTAAGGCAAAAGAAAGCAATAAAATTTTGATATATTTTTTCAATCTTAATTTAGTAAGAATAGCTTACATTAGAAACATTAAATGTTAAATCAGCCAGTAAATAACATTTGATTTACATACTAAATGGTACCAGTTAAAATAACTAAGTCAAAGGCCTGTAATAGAAAATTAATATTAACCACATTTGCAGTTTGCTTGAATTAATTTGTTGTTGGTTTCCATATTTCTTTTTGCACAAATGAGCAGTTTCCCCAAAGGTAAATCAGGCTTACATTTAATTTAAGTAAACAACTTAATGTATACCCTTTAGGACTTCACAATCTTTGTGGTAAACTTGTACATATGTGTGTAATTACCCTAACAGGACAAGTGAAGGATTCAGCCCTATGAAAAAGCCTAATGAGAAATGAGAAAGCCTAATGAGAAATAAGCCAATTTTTGCTAGAAGTATTAGGAGTAAAATGAGCTGATTAAAAAAAAAGTCTTATTAGAAATGCTCATGTTAAAATTCTGCTGCTTGTTTATTTTAATTAAGCTATAGGGAGAATCAGCAAGACTATTAATTAGGAAGCTCTTTTTCTTTTAATCAGAGTGCTCATCTAAATTGCTACAGGCTTTGTGTAAAGAAAAGTCTTATTTTTAAAAATCCTACTAACAAGTAGTACTGTACGAGAAATGGCTAATATGCTTTGAATGATAAATAGGCTTATAATAATGTATCTCCAAAGATTATACTTTAGAGACTATGTAAAAAACCCCATGCTTTAAAAGGATTAAAGCTTTGGTTTAACTTCAAGGCAGCTGTAACTTACATTGCTGATAATGTTCAAATGAGCTTGTGGGTATGTATTAAAAAGAAATCTCTGTGTGAAATTTCCCCTTGGAAAGTGCAGCCTCCCCTTGCTGGTGACTGCATACATAAATAAACACACATCTCAGTGCAGCCAGACCAGCACTTGCACTGGCACCACTTAGCCAGGACAGGGGACAGAGATGGACTCAATACATCAGCTCGATTGTCATGATCCTGTCTAATCAGTTAACTTGCAATTAACTGTGAAGCTATTTTCAGTGCTCTCCTACTCCACCTTTTGTTTTATGGGGAAAGCTGATGATGCTTGAGGACCACAACAGTACAGGCTTTCCTTTCCACTTCTTTATCTGACTATTAACATGCTAAAAGTAGGCACACATCTCATTAGCCTTGAAAGATAAACTGTATTTTGAAAACATAGGGTTTAGAATTTTAAGTCAGATTAAAAAAATATCTTAACTCTGTAATTTGGGTCATGTAAGCACTCCCAATTTTTCACTCCTTGTGTTGTTAATGGACCGGTATGGGGCTACCTTGTTTTGTAAAACCTGATTTTCTTTGTAATGGGAATTTCATTCATTGGTCACTATTATACTACAAGCAGGGGTGTCAATGAAGAAACCTGATATTTCCCCTTGAATACTATAAATACCTAAAAGGTTTCTCTTGAGGGGGAAGCTGTTTAAAAACTGTACCCCACACACATTCAAGGTAACCACCAAAAGTGTCAGCACAGAGACAACACCTGCAGCATGAGATAGTTTTGAGGATATGAAGATGTATTCTTACCTAATGGCTGGAGTTGAGCAGCAGGAGGCACAACCCAACTGGGGCCAGGGTTAGTCACTTGTTTATGCAGACAGCTGCTCCCTAACTAGAACAAAGCTGTTGCTCATTAGCTCCCAATGGGCTCTGCTTGCTCTGCTTTGGATTCAGGCGCTGACTTGCATTAAGATGCTCCTGGTGTAATATTCCTCACTGTTGACTTTGCAACTTGTGTAATTTATTAGTGATGATTATGATTCTTACAAGAATAAAAATAAGAAGCAGGAGAAAATAGAAATCTTAATCTTTTATTGCACAAGCAATCTTCTCACTGTAAGATTCACTCCTTTCCTTTCAGATAAATTCCTAGGGGTTTTCAAGTTATTTCTGCAACCTAGGGTCACAGAGGCCTTTGGAGAATAGTAATTCCTTGCATGCTCCCCTCTTCCTTTTGTTTTGATTCTAGTATGGCTGCAAACAGTAAAGAGAAAAAGGGAATTTTCCTTTTCTCATTGCTAACAATATTTCTGTTGTGGTATTTTGCGTCAATGTTTGTCAAAGTGTTTCAAATTAAGCCCTTACCCCCATTTTAGAGATGGGGAAACTGAGGCACAGGCTCTCTGCTTGCCCACAGCCTCTTGGGGAGCCAGTGGCAAAAAATGAGTAATGCTGAAATTTCATTTCAGTGCTCTGTCAAAACCCTCTTTAGTCTTTGCAGTCCACCTCTCACTATGATCCAGCTGCTGCTGTGCCTCCATTTGCTCTTATCTAAAAGCTGGAAGCAGTTGGAAAAAGTTGGAAACAAAGTGAAAGCGTTCACTTTTCCCTCTGTAACTGCCCCTGCTGCTGACAGGAATGTGGCTGTGAAGTTTGTGTGCTCAAAGCCTGTGGACTCTGCCCCAGGGATGGAGTTAATGGAAAACTCCTCTCAGGGAGCTGGCTCCACTTTTTGGCAGCTGGAGGTAAGGCAGGAGCCCTGGGATGCGCTGCACAAGGAGACTGGGCCAGCAGCAGCAGCTGTGGGTGGCAGATGTTGGGAGGCACTGCTGCTAAGATAATTTTGCTGGTCTCTGGGCCCTGCAGCAGTGATGGGGCACTCCAAGGAACTGTGGAAAGGCATCTGTAGAGTATGGGGACAGACTCTGAGAAGCAGAAGGCTGGGAGAAGATGTGTTATAGGATCAGCAGAAGAATTTGTAGAGAATCGGGATGAAGTGTTCAAAATTGAAAGAAATGTCAACAGTTACTTCAACTGGGCCTTGTACAGCTAAAGGGATTAAAGACAACACATAATAGCTTTAATCTTTGGATATTTGCTAGGTTTGAGATAGGTCATGGTTTGAAGACATTGCTGTGTTTTCTCATTTGATCTACATGTAGCTGTGCTGTGGTTTGCACCCAGAGCTGGGCAGGCAGCTGTGTCACAGAACACACCTTATGGAGATCAGGGTCTCTTCTCTGTCCTCTAGACCTCTAGCAAGGTAGAGCAGTTGAAAATATTTGGAGGGAGAAAATCTCCTTCTCTTGTTGTTGTCTCTCCAATTCAGGAGGTGTTTTAGAAAAACAAACCATTGTCTGTGATTCAGGATGGGTTTGTAGACTGTTGGTATGGTGAATGCAGTCACTACCCCTGGGGCATATTCTTCTGTGTGTAACACTGGTTCACCAAAGAGGATTAACACACACATCTGAAAGTGTTTCTGGACTCTTATTACTCCTACCTTTTCTACTTCTATCTGCTTCTTGCTGAACTGAGAATCATAAAAACATTGTTTGGAAAGGACCCTGGAAGTGGTTTTGTCCAAGCTCCCTTTCAGAGGATCTTCCTCGCTGCTGTGGTTTTGTCTGAGCTGTGAAAATCTGAACAAATGCAGGTACAAAACATGGCAGAGTGTGTAGAAAAACCTGTTGATCTGAAAGGATGAGTCCTGGGAACTGTGGGCTGCTGAGGTTTCATTTAGATTACAAAATCAAGTTGTGGGTTTCAAAGGATTACAGGACCCGATTTCATAGACCTGTTACCCTTTTTGCTTGTGCTGATTCTGCTTCTCTTTCTTCACATATTCTGACTGATGGATTTGCTCATTAATTGTCACTAATTCATGACTAAACTTACAGCAGATTATGCCGTATGAAGGCACATAAGTGCCAGACAAACACATCAGGTTCTGCATGCCCTGAGCAGGGCAAACCAACCATGACCATAATAATGCAGGTGTCATCAGCAAAGACTGCTGATCTTAGAAAAAACCCACTTTGACAGGCTTGGGAGTGTATCTAAACTGACTTGATAGGAGCTGACTGCCACAGGGTGATTCTTGTCTTCTGACTTTGAGAAGATTTTAGGCTGAGCCTGCCTAAAATCTCCATTAGGGAAGCACAGGGCTCCTGCTAATTCCTGCAGACACCTGGATCTGTGTGGATTGTCACACACAGCTCTTGCACGAGTTGTTTATGCTGCAGCAAAGAGAGCATTAGAGAGTTCCTAATGTGAATTAAGAGCTAGCACAGCGTGGATGAAGGGGTGAGTTACTCACAGAGCTGACTGAATATGCTGATTAACTTGCAGTGATCAAATTCTCCCCTGGTATTTAAGGTCTAGTACCTGCTCTGTACTAAGGAATTGGAAACATTTTTTTTTACTATGGGCCTCATTTCTGTTGCGAATCCTGCAATTCATGTGGTTATTTTGTAAGATTGACATAATGCAGTAATTGCAAACATCTCGAGTGGTCCTGTCACTATCATTGCCCCATTTTTAACCCTCTGTAGTCACACTTCTAGTAATGGGAAAGCTGTTTATCATATCCTGCCCAGTTTTGATTGTGAGGTGACCAAACAAAATGTGGTTTCTGAGGGAGCTGGTTCATGACTGTACTTGCTTTCAGCCACATTGACAAGGGGACATAACCTCATGACTAACATGTTCACCCATATTTCATGACAGAATGACCAGGGTTCCTACAGAGCTGATGTTCAGCATTGGTAGGCTTGCATGTTGTACTTGTTTGATCAATGTGTACCAGAAATATGAAGCCATAGATCCAGGCTTTACATTTAGATGGAATGGAAACTGGTTAATTTTCCTAAAACAGGCTTATGCATTTTTTTTCTTTTATTTAAATTTATCCTGCCTCTTTCTAACTGGAACAGAAGGTATTTCTCAGCCCCCATGGCTGTATGGAATGTAGGAGAGGACCAAATAATACACCCAAGAGATCCAGGCACAGCTTTGAGATTTCAGCCATGCTCCAAGGAGAGTGCAAAGCTGTGTGGTGCTCATGAACTAGATATAGCTCCACTTATATCTCTCCTTCTTTTCACAGAATCATTAACAATGGAGAGAGACTTCCAAGATCATCAGGTTCAACATTTGACCAAACACCTCTGTGCCAACTAAACCACAGCCCTAAGTGTCACATCAAGTAGCTTGCTACAAAACTCTGGCAATATGGAACTCTTGCAATATATGACAACAAATGGGGACTCTGATGTGATTTGGGATTAAACTATATGACCCTGTGGATTTGAGACCAAGCTATATGACCCTGTGGATGTGGGGAAAAAGGATTCAACTATATAACCCCATGGATTCGGGGAAAAGGACTTGAACACTAAACTATTGTTAAAATATATCAATTGTAGCTATTAGTGTTTGTTAAATATGAGTATAAAAGATCTTGAAGATAAGTGCTTTGTAAACTGAGAAAAGCTGTAAAACTGAACACTCAGATATATATATTTGTACTATAATATATTGTCTGAACGTTTGTATAAATCTTAATTCTAAACTAAATATACCAATGTGTCATAATGTTAATTTATTTGAACATGTCCTTCTAGAAATGATGCAACTCCGTAATTAAAAGAAAAGGGGGGAATTGTAGGGGGATAGAATGTAAGTAAATAAAGGTAGAATAGAAAGTAATCTTACCCCCTAAAGAGTTGCAGCTGAGCCAATTACTAAGGATTAGGAGCAGGCCTGATGTTAACAGGCCACAGCTGTAGCCAGTCAGAAGAGTGTTATAAAAGAGTGGATTGGTTGGTTGAGGGGAACTGGAGTCAGTTGGCTGCTGTGAGGATGAGGAAGAGTCAGTGCCTGGAGGAGCTGCCTACAAGAAACATCAAGGAGGTGTGAAACTCTAGCAATATGGAACCCTTGCAATGTAATGTAATATAACTCTTGTGCTATAAGACAACACCCAGGGGTACTGAGGGAACTGGAAGAGCAAAACAATTTCTAATTATTACTAAGCATATATGACAATTACTTGCATGTATGACAATCATGCTTAGGTGCTTTATATACTATGTGGAAAATATAGGACTTTGATGGATGAACTCTTGTGAATTATGGTCTTCCCCATTCCCACCAGAGAAAGGAAACTCACCAAGTATTTATTTTTATTCTAAACTTTGAAATATTTTCAGTCCTGGGGAAAAAAAACCCCAAACAAACCCCACCAAAACTCCCCAAAAACTAACCCTGAAAATCCATCTCATTAAACAAACCTGATTTTTGATGTGGAATATTTGGAAAAGACTTCTGCTGATTTCTCCTGTACTTTCATTTTATCATATAGCCAATGCTTAATTACAGAAAATGCATTTATTTGGCAGCAAGAAGCTTGTGGTGGTCACAGCCTGGTTTACATACCCGACTCCATGTGCAGTTGCTGTAATACACCACAAGAATTCTATTTTGAGGTCTGTACTTGTGGTTGACTCAAAAGACCAAAGCTCTGTTGAGTTGGCCATTATATTCTTTTTCACCAACAATTAATTTGGTCTTGCAACCACTGAAAAATCTTCAGGGTCATGAGCTTTATTTCAAGCTCATAAATGGAACAAAACTGCACATCCCAGTTGAATTTCAGTCTTTGACCTGCTCTGATTCTTTTCTTCTGAAATAATCACGGTAATGGAAGCAGAGCTGCTCTGGAGCAATAAATTATAAATGTTGTGCTTGAGGGATGTGATTGAATAGATAATTTACAGATGACTATTGAACAAAGAGCCTCTGGTGGCTCAAAATAACCCATTTCTTTGTAAACTCTTGAAAGCAGGGGAAAGATAATGCCAAAACCCTCTCTTTTAAGGCCAAGGTAAGCACACAGAGTAATAAAAGCTCTGGCTGTGGAAATGAGCTGCTCCCTCTGGGTGGAAATGAGGGAAGCTGAAAGACCCAGATGGAGAAGAGGACACATGCTGTAGCATCTGGAGTGAGCAGCCAGTGGGGTTTCACAGGAAAGGTTCCCTAGGTAACACCCCGAGAACCTGTTTGCTCCCCACTCCTGCAGCTCCAAATGATGATGTTCCTATTGATCAAACGGTGGGGTGGAGAGGAGGACGCTGGCTGTGCACTGCCAGCCTGGGCTGCACAGAGCTGGAAATAATGTCTTTAATACTCAGGTTTTTGCAGTTTGCAGTCTAATCTGAGAGCAGCAGAGCTAGACTGAGGAGTAAAAATATGGTGCTTGGGTGATGTGCTCTGAGACTGGGAAAGAGGGGGCAAAAGGGGAGATACTTGTAGATGTCATAGAGACAGTGCTGCAAATCAAACCTGGATGTATGGCTCTCCAGGGAATGCTGGGGGTTCTCCAGGGAATTCTGCCAGCAGGAATGGGTTTTCTGTTGCAAAAGGGCTGTGTTACTCTGCAGTGTCTCCTGCACTGATCCTGCCCACGTGTCTGTTCTCATCTCTGCTTCTGTTAACCAGTTCTCAATATGCTCATAGTGATGCCTCGGTTAAAGCAAACCAGTGATTTAATTCTTGGTTTCACTTCTAAGTTTTCAATATTACAAGGACATTACAAGTCCTATTAAGCAGAGCAAAATAAGCTTTAGCCTGCACATTAGTTTAGCCACAGTGAGTTACCATATAAATGAACAGTTCTGAAATGTACCCAGCTCTTCCACTGGATTTATGTTTCAGCACATATCACACCATAGATTCAACAAACATAGATCATTTTAAATGGACAGCTATGTACAAAATTATTATACAGTGTTATTACAAAACTTGAGAAATAAAGCTCTGAATTTTGAAAACACAGTACTGCACAGTCCCAGTTTTAAAGCCAAAGTAACATGATTCCACACGTTCTGCAGCTTGGACAGAGACTCTCGAGTGCAAGCAGCTGACAATGGAAATCAAACCCAGAGATTTACTACAGGATAAAATGAAAATGTGTCCAATAGAACACTGGAAAACCTCTTCCTTTTGCTTTAGTAAGAGAAACCAGAGCCCTGGCTCTCCAAATATTGATGGTTGCATCAGCAGGTGTGACAAGACTACTTAAGACTACTGATGCACTTCAACTTAATTGCACATAAGCATCATGTAGGAACCAGACACTGCTTATATGGCCATATGCTTAGTAAAACAGAAAATACATTTTTTTTTACTTGCTTTTTCCCCCCATAACCAATTTCCCTTGCTTTAAGTGATTGAGAGTGAAAATACATTTGTCTAATCTGGGTCTTGGACCTGGTCCAATATAAGTCATCAGTGGGCAAGGAGAAGAGGGATTTAACACACCTCCACTTGTGATGGTACAGCCACTGCTTAATTTATACCCTTAATTTAGTTGAGGCACTGCTGTTTTTAACAGTTCTTCAAGGGCTAGCCACTGCAGTCTGTTCTTGGGCCACACTCAGCTGTCACTTCAAGAGGAGTTTGGCCCAAGAGCAGGTTGAAAGCCTTGGCTTCCAGGACAGTGGGTAACAGGTCTGACCCTTCCACCACCACTATGCACAGAGCCATCCCCTGTCCCCACAGGTGCCCAGGGCACAGGCTGAGGGGTCCAAGGTCTCTGGGGAGGCTCTTTAGGTCCTGGGAGGGGAGTGAAAGGCTGCATGAGGAGAGGCTGTGGGTCTTCACGGGGCAGAAGTTGTCCATGGTGGCGTTTCGTTGATGCAGAACCTGGAGTCTCAGAACTGGCAGCACTCCAGGGACACATGAGAGGTTCTCTCATACCTTCTGCCTTGCCATGACACCTGCAGGAAGAGAGGGAAATGTAAATTAGTTGCAACTATGAATAACAGTGGTGTAGTTTTGCATGCATGTGTATGTAATGCTTGAGGTGCTGCTAGGGAAATCAGTTTCATCTGTTCCTCAGATAACCTAAAAACAGGTAGTTTGATGGACTTAATAAAAACCTCATGTTTCCAGAACCAATCTTGAAACTCCAGAATTTAGGCAACTTTGCTTTTAAGTTTAGTTCAATAGCATATATCCTTCTAGGTATTAAATTGTTGAGGTAACTAAATCTAGAGGATTTAGCAGGACTGTCAGAAGGATGGGGCAGCACACTGCAGCCTGTCTCACTCCATAACTGAGTCAAATACCATTTCTGAAGGCAGACATGGAGGCAAAGGGGGCTAGCAGGGAGATGAGCATTAGGTTGATGACATTCTCACAGTCTATTTAAAAACTGCCCACAGACAATATGGGTCTGGAGAAGGGGAGGTGAAGCATCTGTCCCTCAAGAATGAAAGGAAAACATGGAATCTCAATCCCTTCTGTGTCTTTGCAGGTTGATGTGCCACTGTGCCATGTGCATGTCACAGCTGCTGTTCTGCCTTTTCCCTCCCTCCTTGCCAGGCTGTGGTCTCTACTCCTGGTTTGGCTTTCCTTTTATTTTCTAGGGAATAAATCAAGTAGATTTGTGAGCAGGGAAATTGCTAAAGCCCAGTTGCTCATGGACTTGAGCTTTCAAGGCTTTTCTCTCCCCTAACCATTCCAAATGACACAAGTGACATACACAGGGGAGGAAAAGGGGAGCTGCACAAACAGACATGAACATTTGTCTCTAGGAATTCTCTAGGGTTTAAGGCAGGTACACTCAAAGAGCAGCTCTCTTGACTTCAGGTGTTTGTACAGTGTCTCCTCTCTTGTACTGTCACCTTTATAAAATGATTCTTTAAGCTCTTTCTGGACTTGGCTGGAAATGAGCTGAGATGTTACCAAGGTGCACACAAACAGTGTGGCCACCAGTGCCTTGATTCCAGAGGAAAAACAGCTAAACCATTTCTTTCCAGAACATGAAGATAATGTGGAATACAGCTCTTTAGATGTGAGAGCTGACATTTAAAGACATTATTACAGAAATTGCTGCATAACAAGATATGGTCAAAGTGAGGCAAGAGTTCAGGAGATCATTACAGTCTTTGAGTGCTCTGAAATATTATCACAGAGTCTCAGGCTGTTCCTGCCCTCTGCTGCTGTCAGGGAAGCTCTAAAAACTCATAAGGTGTTTGAGTCTTGATCCCTGCAGCTGGATCTGCACAAGAAGGAAGAAGATTTCTGTGGCTTCATGAGACCCATTAACTTCCACATCAGCAAATCCACCAGAGAAAGAAATATCCTGTACCAAAAGAGAACTAGTGGGGACCTGAACAGACCATGTATACTTGGGAAAAAACAGAAAATAAATGAAAAAAAAAATCAGGTGGAAGATCCTAGGAAAAAGTATTGATTGCTAACACTCCAGGCTTGTTGAATGTGTCTTATCAAGAAGTTCTGTCTTATCTGTCTCATCAAGACAGGAGCTGCATTTGGGAGAGGAAGCTCTCTGCAGGAGACTAAGACAGGCAAATGGGTTTTTGCTTCTGCTGCCCTTGCTGTGTGACATACAGGAGAAGAAGAGGAAAAAGAGAAGTGCAGGTTTCAAGGTGCAGCTCATTGCTGCCCTCCTGGCATCAAAGCCCAGGTAGGCTCTGCTGGTGCAATGCCAGGCACTGCATTCCAAGGATGCAGTGAAACTTCTGCCTGACTTCATACTTCTGCCTGTATGCCCATGCATTTGTCTGTGCTGCATTTCTATGTCTTCCCAGGACAAAACAAAACTATGTTTCATACATTTTTTTCAAACATGACTTTTTTTTCAAGCCTGCATGCTTAAAAAAAAATTTGAGTTAAGCTTAACTCATGGTTCCAGCTGCCCTTCCAATGCAGCATGTGCTCTGGTCCTGGTGTACTTCTCACCTATGCTCCATTGCTAACACTTTCTGTTCCTGCAGGAAATCTTCCTTAGGATTTTTAAACAAACAGAGCTACTTGCACTTCATGTACTCCTATGGTACTGCAAGGAAAGGGCCAAAAGGAGGGCAGGAGTAGTGAGGACTGTAACTACCCAATGTATTTTCTCTTGCTAGCAGTCACGCTCCAGGTGCAGGAACAAAAGCAGCCCTGTGGGGAAATCCTGCACAGATTCCTCCTGTGTCTGTGCAGGAGCAGGGCTCCCAGCTGGGTCCCAGCCCCAGGGAACTGGGGATGCTGGACAATAAATACATTCCTTTCAGGAAACAAGACAAAGAGATTTGATGATATTGATTTAGTTCATAAGAGATGCTCATCAGCATGGAAAGGACAATGTGTAACTATGCAATTTCAGTACAGTGGGGGTTTCACTTGTTTATTTTTCTTGCTTTTCTTTCCACTTGCTGTAAAAACAGGGGAAGTTTTGCAAATGGAAGCCTCATCCTAAAACTCCTTTTGAGGGGCAATTGTATGTTGCCAGCATCAGTGAAGGATGCAGGGAACTTGTGTGCAACTCTGGAGTTGAATTTAGCTTTGAGTGGGATCTGGTATCTTGTCCCAGCTAGTATTTGCCCCTGGGTCCAGCGTTTTATTCCCTTTTCCAGATATCCATATTTAAACAGTGCTATAGAAAGTGGCTACCCACAAGCAAACCAAATGTTCTTTGCTGGAGGTAGGTACTGAAATTGCATTTTTACAGTTTTTGAGAAAATAATGTGATCAAAGCAAGGACTTTGTTCATCACATGAAGTCTGATTGTTTGGTTAGAATAATGGCTTTTAATTATCTGCAGGGAGAAGCAGTTTGGCTGCTGCTGACACAGAGGACAAACATGTGGGCTGTGACCCTGTGTCGAGTGGAGATCAGCACTGACTCCACTCAACACAAGATCAACACCCTGGAGAGTAAAAATCAGAGTAACAAATTCATTTCACATGTGTTTGTGATTAGACACAAAGACAAAAAGCTCAGGTGATATGCTGAATACTGATTAGGTCTGTGAAGTCCCAGTGCTGTGGTTAGTTCACAAAAAAAAAATCTTTGTGAGTTTACATACCTCATTGTGCCACACAATCTTTTTTTGTTTTATTATCTCCAGAATCAGTCTCAACCTCTGCTTTTGAACAAAAGAGAGACACCAAATATATCTGATCATGGCAAGGCCAAGGTAACAACAGGGAACTTTTCATGATGAAAACACTGTCTAGTAGCAGAGAGGTCCCTAAGAACACAGAATCTTTGAATGGTTTGGGTTGGAAGTGACCTTAAAGATCATCCTGCTCCAACCCTCTTGATGCCATCCCTGGATGCCCAGGGAGCTCTGTGGCTTTTGCAGGCTGGGGTCAGTTCTTAAGCCAGAAGTCCTAATTTCAGGTGTCAGGAAGCATTGCCAGGCCTGGGAGCATGGGATGCTCCCATTGCTGCAGCTTCTGCTCCTCAGATGAAGCAAGTTCAGAACCAACATTACAGGAAATAACTTCTCATTTGTGGCTTGTTTTTAACCAGTAGCATGTTTAGAAATGTAAATTACCACAACCCTGGGGCATGCTGCATTAAAAGGGTAAGTCCCTCTGTGGTAGCTGCTCAACCTATGCTGTCTTTCTCAGCAATAGGTATTCAAACCCTCCTTTCCTTTCTCCTTGAAAGGGAAAAAAATCAAGTATTGGTATATACCAATACCTATTGGTATTTCCCGTTTTCCTGCCCATTTGTTTGACCTCAGGATCTTGCAGGAAACAGGCTTTGGAAAGGATATTGTAAGTTTTAAAGGCTGACAGACCCATCTGTCTTCCCTATGAGGCATCTCCAATTTGGGATTAAGGTACCCACCCAAGGGTGGCAGGATCTAAAGGACCTGGACACTCTTCCCAGGTTTGGGACTGGCTGAGGATTTTGGTAAGGAGAGGGGGGCCTGTGTGGCTCCAGGAGCTGAGCTCCCTCCCAGCCCAGCAGGGCAGCCCAAAGGAGGATGGATCCTTGGTGGAAGCACCAGCAAGATGCTCTTTTTCAGTGACTGACCTTTCCCCTCCCTCTGCAGAGATGGTTTGAGGGCCTGATTAGAAGCACCTAAAGCACCCCTGGGGCAGGCTGTCAGCCAAAAGTGTTGCTGCAATGAGGGGAAAAACCAAACAAGCCCAAGGCAGCATCGATTCTGCTGCTTTTATGTGTTTATAAGTAGTTCAGAGGGGTGATTGCTGATTAAGTACTGAGTATTAACTGCTCTTAATCACTGCTCTGGAGTCTAATGGAGCTCTTGTTTGCACATAACTGTGCCTGTAGCTGTCTTTAGCCCACTTGACAGATGTGCTTATTGCCATCTTTACTGCATATTGTAATGGGCTTTTGAATTATTGATTCATCATTACTCTTTTATAAACTACTTATACATGTCACCAGAATGAACTATGCTTGTGTTTGTCTTTTTAAAGCTCTTTCAGGTTTGAAAAATATAATAGCTGCACAAAACAGTGTGACTCCAGGGGCAGGGGGCACTAGGCCTTGAAGTGGAAAGAAACAGGTGTGTACAAATATATCAGGAAGGTTCCCACATTTAAGTCAGCTCCTGAGAGCTATTTATAAAATAACCTACCCGAGTAGCTTTTGCTGTGCCTCTTCTTCTTCTTCCTTTTCCCTGATGGCCTCTGCTTTTCCCTGTCACTGTGAGGTTGCTCTGGGGGAAGTGTTGCTGAGCAAGAGGAGTCAGTGGCCGGCTCCTCTGAGAAGGACTTGTCTTGAGAGGTGTCCAACAGTGAGTCTGTACCAGGATCTTCATTCTCCTTTGTCATTTCTTTAGACTCTGCCTGCTGAGCCTCATGGCAGGGGGCAGGCTGAGCACTGTCTGAGCCATCAGCTGGGCACTCCTTGTCCTGGCCTCCTGACATGGCCCCGTTAGTCCAGCTGAGTTGGTCTGGCAGAGCAGGGGCTGAACTGCTGCTCACAAAGCTGATCCCTGAGCCTATGTCAGCCACAGAGAAGCCAAGGGAGCCTCTCTCTGTGCTGGGCTGGAGGCTTTCCACGTTGTTTGCCTGCTCCATCCCGGGGCCCAGCGTGGTCTGAGTGGCTCCATCAGCTCCCACCACGCTCTCTGAGGGGCTTTTGGTCTGGGACTCCAGTGGCAGACTTCCTCCAGCACTGTTTGTAGATAATGCCTGGCCTGAAGCTGAAGCATTTGTAACACCTCCACCTGTCTCCATCGGGGCAGTGGTTGAGGGAGGAGTGCTTTCTGAGGGATGATCATCCTTGTTTTGCTCAGTCTTGTCATCAATCTGCTTCCCTGCTGCTTGTGGGTCCTTCCTGCTTTGTCCTTTAAACAGAAAACACACAATCAGCCATAGCTGCAGTTTCACCAGGAATCAGCCAAGATGGACCTACCCTGCAGAGGTTACAGGTCAGCAGCTGCCTGTGGAGGGAGCTCTGACCCTACAGCAGCTCCAATGCAGAGGCAGCGCCAATTTATCCTCCCTGTACCTCCCCTCATTATATCTGTGTGGTCACCCTGGCTGGACTGCAGGCTCCAGCTCAGCAAAGCCCCTGATTTGTTTTCAGCAGGTGTCAATGTGTCTCTGCTACAAAATGGCTGATTTCCATGGAGGCTCCAGGACTTGCAAGGAAACCTTACAGTCTACAGCAGAAGAGAGACCCTGCCTGTGGGGTCCTGGACCAGGCTGGACTGCTGGCTTGGTGCGTGAGGACTTCAAGGCTGCCCATTAGCAAGCCTTAACCTGCCCTTGCAGAGCAGGCCTAGGAGAGCCATGGACAGACCAATGTCCTTGGATTTGCCTAACTGCACTGACACTGAGGTCAAGAGACCAAAGAAAACCTAAACCCATGAGGCTGTCTCCTCAGAAGCACTTAAAAGAACTTGGTACTTCTGCAAACAGGGTTTCTTAGCTTTTTTTAAAGGGTTTCTTCAGTCTCCCAAGTGTAGACTAAGATGGGATGCAGCAGTCTCTAAGACAGGAACACGCTGTGCTACTGAGACTTGACAGCATGCAGGGATAACAGCAGTGCTCCATCAGCATGGTGCCATGGCTGACACACGGGTCAAGCACCTCAGAGGGTTTATCAACACACATGCAGGCCCATGCTGCTCCAAATTCCTGCTAATTTTGGGACAGACCTGGCTAGCAACAGCTCAAGGCTCTCTGCTCCTCTTGTCCTTGGCACTGGCTGCAAAACCTCCTTAAATAAAATGCCCCAAATGCAAACACAAAGGCTTCTCACTGGTGCATGCTTGGCTCAGAGGCAGATGGGAATGAAGAGCTGCAGGTACAGTCAGGTCTGTGTCCTTACCAGACTGGCTCTCCTCCAGGCTCTCTGCAGAGAGGGGTTTAGGAGCTGCCTCTGACTCGTGTCTGTTCTTTGTCTTCCTCAGCGTGAAGCCTTTCCTGATGTCGGCGAGCAGGGCGTCGATGACACACACCTCCTCCTGCTTCATCAGCCCCTTCCTGACTGGGAGAGAGATGGGATGGGAGTTACCCCTGTTCCTGAGACAGGCCAGCAGGAGCTGCAGGGATGCCACTGCTGGAGGTGCCTCCTGCTGGCGGAGCACAAGCAGCCACTGGGCAGGAGCAAGGCACCCACAGCAGACCTGGGAGCAGCTCCATGATCCCACAGCAGTGCCCACGATCCCACAGCAATCCTGTGATCCCAAAGCAGTGCCCCGTGATCCCACAGCAGTGCCCACGATCCCACAGCAGTGCTCCACAATCCCACAGCAGTGCCCTGTGATCCCACAGCAGTGCCCCATGATCCCACAGCAGTGCCCACGATCCCACAGCAGTGCCCATGATCCCACAGCAATCCTGTGATCCCAAAGCAGTGCCCCGTGATCCCACAGCAGTGCCCCATGATCCCACAGCAGTGCCCTGTGATCCCACAGCAGTGCCCACGATCCCACAGCAGTGCTCCACAATCCCACAGCAGTGCCCCATGATCCCACAGCAGTGCCCATGATCCCACAGCAGTGCTCTGTGATCCCACAGCTGTGCCCATGATCCCACAGCAGTGCCCATGATCCCACAGCAGTGCTCTGTGATCCCACAGCAGTGCCC